CTCTCTCTCTCTCTCTCTCTCTCTCTCTCTCTCTCCCACACACACACTGAGTCCCCTACCTTGTCGATGGCAGGGAACCGCGATGGTGGCCGTTGGCGGGCAACGGCAGGGTCACGCGCGATGGCGGGCGTGGGCAGGTGCCGGCGGGGGGTCGTCGAAGAAGTGCGTCGAAGGCCGGCGGAGCGACACTGCTGCAGGGCAGGGAACGGCGGGGGGACAGCTTGAGTATGGGGGGAGGGGGGGGGGGGTAGTTCCCGCCCTCACCGATTTGAAATTGCAGCCATCTGGGCCGTCGATCTCTGAGATCGACGATGAAGATCGGGCCCGATTTCAAATCGGTGAAATCGGGCCTACTGGCCCCAATTTCTTTTTTTTCGGTGTCTACACAGTCTAGGATGGGGGCAAAAAGGGCCCCAGCGCCGAAAAAAAAAAAAAAAAAAACTTACCTACAGTGATTCGTTGGGGGCGCCCGGTGGCCAACCGGGCGTGACAACCGGCCAGGCCCCCCCCCCCCCCCCCCGGCGACGACCAGACCGCCAGGCGGCCCGGGGACCAGCCTAGCTAGTACCTCCAATAGTGTTGGGAAATTAGGGAAACGGGCTGTTCGGAGAGAGTTCGGAGGCTGGGCCCGATGACGTCTGCCATTGATAAATGTCATCGGCGGCCGCGTTCCGTTTCGGCTTCCTAAAAGGTTGGAGGCCCACCCGAGGCTGCAATTTTCCCACTCGGCGGCAAAGGTACTAGTGGTTTAAGGAGGTTAGCTGTCATTTTCATTGCCCCCACCGATGCAGTGGGCTTTTTCTGTGCACACCGCATGGCATAATTTTGATGATGGAATCAGACGGATAGGTTTTCCCTGATAAGCAATGCCTCTGAAGAGAAACAACAACCACTAACGATACACATAAATGTTTTACAACGAAGATGCCAGGCAGCAAAATGGTGAAATCTGTGCATGAACAAGTTCTTGTGAGACATCTAAAAGACTACAACTGCAGAGCTCAAAGGGTGAGACTAAGTGACTTGCAAAATGAAATACATGTATTGCAGACAAGACACATGAATCTCTAGTTCAAATCAACAAAAGGATGTAGAAGTGTTTACGGTCCGATACGTGCAAGAAAGCGCGGGCAGCGCAGGTATGCCACTCTCAAGAGATGCAAGCAATGCATTCAAGCATTAGAAATACATGTCTACGCATCAGTAACCATTTGAAAATACACACACACAACTTCTCAGTAACTTCACATCATTGACAGCCACACCCACACCACATACCGCGCCTTGTGCCTAGCCTCCACATTCCACATAATGACCCCCCTTTACAGTCTGCTGATTTCCTTGATTACACAACCTCTACTTAGATGTCATCCATGAGTTAGAATTTAGAAACTTAGTACTTGTAACCTGTTAGTGTTTTGACATACATCGCTGTTTATCGATATACATACTACATAGTCCTCCACTACAAGTCGATTGATCACACATGATTGCTTATTCATGTACATACTGTCTTCCCCCCAAATAGAACGTACACCGTACGGTCATTACACCGGCATTTGGGGCAAGTTTCAGTCTGCATACAGCGATAATGACCGCACAATGTACGTTCTATTCGGGGGAAGACGCACCGTCTACTACAACTCTAGCAATCTAGACAAGTCCTGTGATGAAATCTATGAGCATTGAGCACATATATGAAACTTTCCAGAGAAAGAGATCCTGAGAAATCTGATCCACGCTGAACATCTCCAAAGCAGTTGTCACTGGAAACATGGTCCTGTACCAACTGCCATGCGGAGAAGGATTCATTTGAGCTGTTCATCCCTATCGCCTTCATGATGGGTGCAATGACTGTCACTGGAAGCATGGCCTTGTACTAAGTGGTAGGGGGAGAAGGATTCATTTGACTTGTTCCGTTCCGATCGCGTTCATGCTCGGCACAACATGGAGTCTTCCTCAATTAAGATGAAACATGGATGGATCGATTGTGAAGATGAACGGATACATGTATAATAACCATAAAAACAAACTTCACATGTCCGATGGTCAGCAGAGGGGGGTGATAGTGGTTGGGGCTGTAGCTCGAACTTGCAAGAGATGCAAATGGAACAGAATCAACAGATCATTCTGCACATTATTATTATTATTACTATGAAATTAACAAATGAAAGTCCTTCGTGCAATCAGACTCGCTCTCATTCACACTTCTCATGCATGTAAACAGGTTGCGCAGCAAACTGGCGACAAGCGCCCACTCAGAACTCAGAGATATGGAAACCAAACACAGTTCAGGCACAAGTTCACTTCAGATGACTATGGCGGCACAGCGCCTGTACAGCTCTCTGCTTACACACACACAGGATCACCCTGGATATCCCACACGCGATACTCTGTACACACATACACACACTCACACACTACACTCTCCTAACAGCTATGGCGACTATGGCCGCTGCTATCCTATCGCTATGGCTAAGCTCCTTCTAGCCCACTTCGTCTTCGGGCTCACTGCAGACCACCTCGCACAAGTCGCTGTGGCAGCGCTTCCGCATGGCTCACGCATTACTTGCTTGACTGGACTAGGACTGACTGGGACTGGGACTGCTGACTCAGCACGGGTAGACTTCACTACTTGCCCACTTGCCTCAGCCTATACGTGAGCAACTTCGAAAGGCCACTACTAGGACCTTCCAGAAGTCTGGGTCCTGGCCTTTCCAAGACTGTAGCAGCTACGACCTTGACCTTTCAGGACTGTAGCAGCTACGACCTTGACCCTTCAGAAGTTCTACAGCTACGACTTCTAGAACTCCCTAAGACTTCTACCCGACAGATCTACAGATCGAAACCCTACACCTACAGACCTTACGACCGACTACCACTTCTGCAAACACACCCAAGTCACGGGTTCAACTCTCAGGGTCGACACAAGTACTGTACACAGGTAAGGTGAGGACTGGGGATCGAGCCTTGGGATCTGCATTCGCTACTGCTAATAGGTGAAAACCGTTTCATTCTGGACAAGGAAAAAAAAAAAAAAAAGTCCTTCGGGACATTGTTAAAATTGGAACGTTACGGATAAGATTAGCATGGCCGCTGCACCAGGCTGAAACGCATAAATCAAAAAATGATCTTTTTTGAAGTTTTTCCTTCAAGGGAAAAGCAAAAAAAACTGTGCTGGTCCCCGTGCGGTCGCCTAGGTACCCTCCTGTGCAGCCTGGGGTGGGCAGGGTCCGGACAGGGTCCCCAGCAGTCCCAGCGCATAATATTAAAAAAAAAAAAAAAAATAGAAAAGAAAAAATTAAAAAAATCAAAAAAAAAAAAAAACGTTGTGTACAATTGCAAATTTGGAATACAAACAACTTTTGGCAGAGGGCCACCTCGAAATTCCTTGTTAATTTTAAGATAAAAATAAATGAGAAAACATGAGTCAAAAATTCTCAAAATGTACGCTTTTAATTTTCAAACCCCTTCAGTCACTGTTTACACCTCCCAAACCCCACTGGATGACCCATCACCAAACTCGAAGTTAAGAACGGATTGTGACTGCTTAAGCCAAGCGTAGTCCTGGCCCGAAGTCTTTTTTTTTTTTCTTTGGGATCCTCGCCTCTTTTTTGACCCATCTGGTTTTGCTGGTCGACCCCCACTCTGCCCACCTGGCCAGGCGGGCCGGGCTGGGCGACGGCCCAGCATAGAAAAAAAAAAAAAAAAACATAAGGGAATGCATATTTTGATGACTTGAGCTTCTGAGCACAGTGATGTGCAAAAGGGGAAGAAAAGCAGGAATATTATTGAGAAATATGACCGATAAGACAGGGCAGTGGTATTGTAGTGAGAGCAATTGAAAGAACTTACAGCTTGCCATCCTCAGAGCCAGAAAGGATGTATCGTCCGTCCGGGCTGAATGTGCACTTGAGTGGGTGTTTGGTACAGTGAATGCCTCTGTAATGGTTCTTGAGAGCAAACAACTTGAGATCAATTGTGACTAACCGGTTTTGCTTCGCTACAACCAGAAGCCTCCCTCTCTTGGCATCCAATTGTAGGCAAGATACCGGTTCTCCCTATCCAAATGCAACTCACACACACACACACACACACACACACACACACACACACAAAAGAAAAAAATCAGTTTTATGTATGTCTGTCATTCTCTTTTTCGTATGTCTGCTTTCTATTTTTTCTAAGTACTTTTTGTGTGTCCAGCTGAGCAACTTTATGCATTGCCAAATAGTCGGTCATTCCGTGTTTGAAGTGCCTGCAACATTCTTAGGGGGGCTGCTCAGTTCAGGATGTCTGTCTTTCCAGTGGGTGATGATAGATGTCCGGAGTGCCTTCCTGGCTCAGCGGGTGGTGGGAACCAGCAGTCTGCGGGGTTCACTTATGATGTGAGAAGGTGATGTGCCACTTTGCTCCGTGTTGGATGCGTAGACTGCCTTATCTGCACTCCGCCACTGCCTTGCTGCCATCCCACTTGCTTCGCATGTCATTCTTTGCAAGCTGCCGTGTTCACTGAGTAGTGTGGCTGCGGTGTTGGTGTTGCCGTGTGCCTCACTGCTCTGCTGCTTTGCTCCCATCCGTATGCAGTGCCTTCTGAGTCCTTTGCTTGTGTGCCCTGTAGCTTGGCTGCCTTGTTGGTGTTGCTTTGTGCTTCACTGCACGGTTGCTGTGCTACTCGTCCACTTTCCCTGTCGTTCCTTGCAGTTGTTTTTGGCGTTATGCAGTTGTGTTGCCGCGGCAGTGTTGCCTGGTGCTTCACTGAGTTGCTGCCCGTTGCTATGTCCCGCTTGGGGACAGTCTGCCTTCAACATGGGTCGAACGGTTCATGGCCCAAACCATCAATACGGAGATTCCGCAGATTGTCGAGGGTTCATTCTCCTGATCAGTCGGTGCAACTCTGAAAAAACAATCCATCACCACGTTTTTTTTTTTTTTTTTTTTTCCGCTCTTTCTTTTTTTGGGGACTTGTACACTTTTTGCCTATCGTTCATTTCCACTCCTTTCCATTTGCTGCATTGTGTCGTTGTCTGCCCACCTGCCTCCTCCATACCCTCCAGCCTACGTCCCTTGCTTCACTGTCTTTCGTGCCTTGCTGCCCTGTGTCGTTTGTCTGTCTTTCAGTCTTGGGCTTGCATATTTCTTCTGTCTTTTGTACATCAAGTGGACCTGCAATGCTACTCAAAGGATTGTCCATTGACTTGACACACTCAAATACGTGTTTCCTCCTGGAGTATTGTGTTGGTACGGTGCACAGTCTCTGTGCTGAGTATGTACTACGTGTTTTTTCACACACACACACACACACACACAATCAGCTTTATGCATGTATTTCCTCTTTCTGGATTTTTTCTAAGTACTTTCTGTGTGTCTGAGTGAACACCTTTTAGTAGTGCTAAACAGTCGGTGGTCGGTGTTTTGGAGTGCCTGCAGGACTCTTGGGGGGGGCACTCTGTCTGTGATGTCTGTGGTGCATACGGTCTATGGGTGATGGTATGTCCGTCGGAGTAGCTTCCTGGCTCAGCAGGTGGTGGGAACCAACAATCTGCAGGGTTCTTCCTGTGGTGTATGTAGGCCTTGGATGACTTTGCTCTGTGTTGGATGCATAGACTGTCTTGTCTATGCTCCATGGCTGCCTTCCTGCCCATCCCGCTTGCTACTCATGTGTGTTTCACGCGGTGTTGCCTTGCTGTCCATCCGCGTGCCTCGTCTTCCCGTGCATTTTGCTTGTGTGATGTGCAGTTTTGCCTCTGCTACAGTGCTGCTTTGTGCCTCGCTGTGCTGTTGCTTTGCTGCCTGTGCACTTGTCCTGTTGTTCCATGTAGCTAGCTTTGACGCTTTGCAGTTGGGTTGCCCAGCAGTGTTGCCCGGTGCTTCGCTGAGTCATTGCCTGCTGCTATGTTCCACTTGCCATGTTGCCCGATGGCAGCCTGTGTTCAGCAGGGCTGAAAAGGGTTCATGACCCAAAGCACCAATATGTGGGGATTGTCGCGGGTTCAGCCTCCTTATGAGTTGGTGCAACTCCAGTGAAACAATCTTTCATCATCAGTGCCCGTGCGCTTGTGCTACTGTTCCATGTAGCTAGCTTTGACGCTTTGCAGTTGGGTTGCCTGGCAGTGTTGCCCGGTGCTTCGCTGTGTCATTGCCTGCTGCTATGTTCCACTTGCCATGTTGCCCGATGGCAGCCTGCTTTCAACAAGGCTGAAAAGGGTTCATGACATGACCCAAAGCATCAATATGGGGTATTTGTAACAAGTGCGAGGCTGAAGGAGACAGGGAGAGCCGAGAGAGAGAGAGAGAGAGAGAGAGAGAGAGAGAGAGAGAGAGAGAGAGAGAGAGAGAGAGAGAGAGAGAGAGAGAGAGCACACACTCACTCACTCGACACGACTGAGGGACTCGACGGACGCAGACACAGTGGCAAAGACACAAAGTCGAAGTCTTGGATTCCGAATGCCGAAACAGGGGCAAGTCACACTGAGTACGAGTACAGCAGCTGAAAACTGGTCCAAGACTGGTCCCCGTACTGTACGGGGAGCCGGTATAAGTACCGGTGACACATACAGTACCAGGGGCATTTCCGCAAAAGCCCCGAGGGCAGAACTGAAAAATGTAGTATTTGAAAGTGGCGCTTGAATTGCCGCATGGCGCCAGTTGTCCAAAATCCGACGGTACCAAAGGAGGGGTTTGGAAAAAAAGGGTGCCAGGCTGAAAACGGGATGCAGCAGAAACAGCAAAAAGATAGACCAGGGATCGAGCCCTGGCGGAGTCCGTAACAGTATTATGGGGAGATTGTAGAGGGTTCAGCCTCCTGATGAGTTGGTGCAACTCCGGTGGAACAATCTTTCATCATCAGTTTTCATTCTTTTGAATCTTTTCACTCTTTCTTTTTCTTTGCGGACTTGTAATTTCTTGCCTGTTGTTCTTTTGCTTACCTGCTTTAGGGCTTGCTGCCTTTTTCATTCGCTGCCTTGCACTGTGTGTCTGCCCACCTGCCTCCCCTGTGCCCTCCAACCTATGTCCCTTGCTTCACTGTCTTTCGTGCCTTGCTGCATTATGTCGTTTGTCTGCCTTTGAGTCTTGTACTTCTTTTTCTGTCTTTTGTACTGCAATGCTACTTCAAAGATTGTCTGTTGACATGCTGCACTCAGATGCATGCTTTCCTCCTAGAGTGGTGTGGTGGTGCAGTGCATGGTCTTTTACCATGCTGACTCTGCTCAGTCTGCTGAGGTCGATTTATGTGTTTCAAAGTTCAAACTCATCATCACACACAAACATATGGTTGGTGTGAGCAAAGGTAACCACTTTTCTTTTTTCTTCTTCTTCTTCTTCTTCTTCGTCTCCTTTTTTTTTTTTTTTTTTTTTTTTTAACAGGTCCTTGTGGTCCTGGCTCCGTATCCATTCTGGGGAGCATCAGTCCGGTTCCTATTACCCCGGCAAGTCAAAGGATTACAACGTTTTACCCACACAACGCTTCCTTCTGTCTGCCCGAAGGAACCCTGACCAGCATTGATTACTCCTAAGGAGGATTGACTGTCAGCTTGCCCTGACCACTTGTTCCTCTCAGGCTTCTATTCAGAGCCTGTCGAATGAATCCCTGCAATGTGAGAAAAGTGGGGGGGCCCACTCAGTGTTCTGTTGCTTGTCCTTGTCCTTCGTTGTGTGTCCGGTTAGCCTTGTTGTTGATGCCTTCTTGACCTTCTGCCAGGGCGCCCTGCGGGAGACCTTATAGACTTCATGATTGTGCCTGGTGCCATTTCTTCCACCTCAACCTGTTGTCCACTATCGTCGCCACCTTGCCCCTTAGCAGCCAGTTCCTCATGAAGGTCTGTTTCTTGGTTGCTTGTCCTTCTGGTCTGTGTCTTATAGAGTTGACTATTCTCCGCCATCTGCTTCTGATTTCCGTCTCTGCCATGCTCAGCAGTAGTGACCACATTTCTTCCCTAGCCACCTCTGCACCCTCGATTGTCTGAGTGCATCTGTGTTTCCATATTACCCACAGTGCCAGCTTCCTGAGCAAGGTAAACCATACTTCCCTGCTGCCTGTGATGTTGCTGGGGATGTTAGTTAGGATTAGGATAGAGAGAGGGGGAATGTCAGGGGGCGGCGAAGCGAACATGATCGACCATAGCTCGCGGACCTTCTTCCATACCCATGTCGCTTCTGGGCAGAACAGGAGGCAGGGTGGGATGTCTTCGGGAGAGTTGTTGCTGCACATTGAGCAGCATTCCGAACTATCACGGTCGGAGTGTTTCCTCCTAGTATGTAGCCACGGGTTGACGGGAAGGGCTGCATGTGCTATTAGCCATTGCAAGCTGCGAATTCTGATAGGTCCGATGAGAAGGTATTTGGTCCAGGGGATGGTGAAGGGGATCATGTCACCTAGGTTCAGTATGCTTCTCCATTTCTCTGTCAGCCTCGGATTTAGGTCCCTGGTTTGTAGTCTGAGGTTATATCCGAACTTTATGTCATATTCTGTTATCGTCCTCGATTTTCCGGTGGCGCCCAGATCCCATATCCATTCCTTTGGGTCGAATTCCAGCTCCTTAATGCTGAGTTCCGGCTGATAGATGATCCAGGGTTTCCTGTGAGAGACTCTAACCTTCCTAAGAAGGTAGGCTTCTATTTGTTCGTTCTGTGGTGTTCTTTTCAGGACCTCTAGTTCGTAAATGCTGTGTTTGATGACAGGGTAGGATATGAACTTGGCCTGGTAGTTGGTCGGGTCCGGTTTGGACACGAAGCGGTAGGCTCTTGTTGGTGGGGTCTGTGTGGTGAGCACTCCCCAGTCTCCTGATTTCCACGTGTGTGATTCTTTAAGGAGGGTCGTCCACGGGGGGGGAATGCTTTGGAGGATTTATGACAGGTTGGTGGTCAGTAGGTGGCATCGTTTAAGGATGTGCGGAGGTCCTGTACGGTTAACCATTCTTGTCGGTCCTCATACCATAGATGTTTGACCTGCCATACTCCTCTCTCCACCCAAGACAACCATCTGCGGTCTTTGGCCCGGAGAGTCCATTGTCTTCCCTCTGTGTCTTTAATCAAGGGATTCCAGAACAGGGGCTGTCTTAGGACTTCCTCTTTGTTGCTCGGGGCCCCTTTCTTTTCTGGCATCAGTCGGCGCCAGGTCTTCAGGATCGGTGACCAGTAGGGGATGGACGTAGTGAGGGGCTGATTGGGGGTCCCGAGGTTGGTACTCCTAGCAGGCCTTCCGAATTTGATTGTCCATTCCTTTGCCATGATCCAGAACAGTCCACTCATGTTTGGAGGGGATGCTACTGGTACCAAATTTCTTATGCTGTTTACCGCCATCTTAGTCCACGGGAGGGCTTCTTTGGTTAGGATTTTGACCATCCATTTCATTTGGAGGGCGATCGCTTCCTGTTTAGGGTCGATTATACCTAGCCTGCCTTCGTGTGGTTTCCTGATGACGGTTTGCCATGCCACCTTGTTTATGCAGGTGGTTCTGCTGCGGTCGCTAGTCCACATGTAGCACCTCGCTCTAGCCTTCAACTTCTTTATGTCGTCGCCGGGAGGGGACCATATGGAGGCCATGTACCATAGAGTGGAAAAAACTGATGTGTTGATAATCAGGGCTCTCCCTAGCAGGGAGGCCTGGGCTTTGTTGCAGGTGGCTAGACGGGTTATTGTTCTGGCAATTAAAGTCTCTCCCATGCCTTGCCAGATGCCGTTTCTGTTTACCATAATTCCCAGGTATCCGAGTGTTTGGTCGCCTGTGGTCCATGACATTGGGGTGGATGGGTCTGGAGGTTGGGGGGGATGCCTTATGCAAGCCACCACCCTTCCATTTTCGACCAGTTTACCTTCATTTCTGAGGCGAGTCTGAAGGTTTCCATAGCGCGGGCCAGGGCCTGGAAGGAGGAGTTACTGGCGGGAATAAGGACCGTGAGATCATCTGCGATCATCTGTGCGGTGGGGAGAACGAAGTCGTGGAGGGGGTTGTGGTTTTGTTCAGCGAGGCGGTCTATGGATGGGTCCTTTGCGGAGGAAAGATGCGATGGCTTCCATTATTAACATGAATATAGAGGGTGTGAGGGGGTCACCTTGACGGACCGATCTCGATATCGGATAGGTTTCTAACAGTATTTTGTTTATCTGCACCCTGCCCGTGGCATCCCCATAGAGTACTTTTACCCACTCTATGAAGTTTGGGCCGACTCCATCTTCTCCATACAACTGTGTAGGAAATCCCAATTGAATTGATCGTAGGCCTTTTCGATGTTGAAGAATAGGATCGCCGCATGCATCCGTCTTTTTGTGATCTTCTTTGCAACTTTGTTTGGAGCCATCATATTATTGAAAATATATCGACCCGAAATGAATCCTGCTTGGTCGATGTGAAAGCATTTGTCTGTTAGTTTTATGATTCTGTTTGCTAGTGCCTTTGCTAGGATGTTGCAGGGTGTTGTGAGAAGTGAGATTGGCCTGTAGTTCTTAAGTTCCTCCTTGTCGCCCTTCTTGTATATTAGTGAGACTACGCTGGTGCTTAGATATTGACCCAGGCCTGTTTTTTCCCTGTTGTCATTAATAAAGGTCAGGAGGTCGTTTCCCAGTGTGGGCCAGAACTGGATCCATAATTCTTTGGACAGGCCATCGATTCCTGGTGCTTTGCCATTTCCCATTTGGGACAAGGCAGCGTGCAGTTCCCCTAGGGTGATTAGTTTGTCCAGGTCCTCCGTTTGTTGCTGGTTGATTGTTCTCTCGAGGTAGGTCATCATGCGCTGACGGGCGTTGATGTTCGTTGCCTGGGGGGGGAGGTAGTTTTGGACTCGTAGAGGTCGGCGTAGAAATATCTGGTTATTCTTACCATGTTTGTGCTGGCTGACTTTGTCTTCCCCTGGTCTGCTGCGTCCTTCAATCCCTCGATCATGTTGTTCCTTGCATTGGCCTTAATTTTGGCGCAGAAGAATTTGGACATGGATTCGTTCAGGGCGTAGTCGTTCATTCGGGCGCATATTTGTAGGCCCCTGAGTTCCCATCTTCTCCGTTCATTTAATTCATCCTTGGTAGATTGTAGTAGGTCGTGATAGAAGGAGTTGGCAGGATCTGATGCGAGGTTGGTCTCAGCGATGTCAAGAGCAATTTGCAATTCTTCCTTCCTGATTTTGTGTTCTGCTGCTATGCTTCTAGACTCTGTTGAGACCGTTTGAGATAGGTTCGTATAGCTGTCTATGAACCACTTGTGCCTTTTCTGGTGTTTCATCTCGTCTTGTTGTAAGAAAGCCCAGTTCCATCTGACTGCCTCTGTCATGTGATTTGTGGAGAGAAGTGAGTTGTTGAGTCTGAAAAAAACTCGCCCTTTTTCTACCGGAGAGTTGAAGTTGAGGAGCAGGTAGGTCGGTTTGTGATCGAGCCCCTTGAAGGCAACTGCTGGTAGGATATCGGACTCCTTGATTGCTCCCTGCAACATGTCGGAGATTAGGAAGAAGTCGATCCGTGCTAGTGATGAGTGGGTAGGTCGGTTTCTTTTGACTAGGGAGAAAGCTTTCTTGTGTGGGTGGAGGATTCGAAAAGGGTCTATCAGATCGAACTCCGTCATGATGTTTCTCAGGTGTGTGCTCGCTCGTGTGGGTCCCAGAAGCATTGCCCGGGAGATGCGGTCCAGGTTGGGATCCATCGTGGTGTTCCAGTTGCCTGCAATGATTATCGGTCGGGGGTTCGGGAAGAGTGATTTGATGTGGTCAAAGAACGCTAGGCGTTCGGTTTCCGTGTTGGGGGCGTATATGTTCAGGATCCTGATCTCTTCCCCTTGCCATGTGATTTGGATCCATGACCATCTTCCTTCCGCTGTGTCGCCTTCGCCGTTTCTTACCTGTCCTTCTAACAAGATTTTGGAAGTAGTTGGTATAAGGATCGTTGTGCCGTGGTTGCTTTGGTCCGCTTTGTTAGATCACAATGTGAAAGGGTGTCCACCTAGGCTTTTTTCCACAGTCTTCTTGATTCTGGTGTGGTTGGTGAGGTTTGATAGATGGGTCTCTTGTACAAGGATGACATCGGGTTTGGGCTTTCTTTTGTCTGTGAAGCCGAGTTTGATGTCTCGTAGTTTGTTGTCTTCATCGAGGATGCTACCCAAGCCGTGGACATTCCAGCTGTGGATCGTCAGTCCTTTGGCTTGCCAATCTACCCTCACTGTCCCAGACTGATCTTCGTTGCAGTCCATTTGATTTCGTCTGGCGGGGTGCTGTGTTCAGATTGACTTTTTTTTTTTTTTTTTTTTTTTTTTTTT